GGCTCTTTAAAAATTTTTAAGATTTTATAGGATCTTTTTTATATTTAGAACGTTAGGACTTTAGTTTATTTAGAATCTTAAGCGTCTTTACATTCGCAATTTCTAGTGTACGTAATCCGTGAAAGCTTTCATACTTTTTGAATCTTTCAGACCACTGGAAACTTTTCTAGAATCACTAGAATTTCTACAATCTTTAGAGCTTCCAGATTTTCATTATTTAATTATAAACAAAAAATATTACCAATCAAAGAAAATCCATTATAATATAATTTTGTTCATTTTTTGTAAAAGTAAGCTAAGTTTACGTTTTTTCTAGTTTTACGAGCAAAGAGTAACCCCGCCCACCCACCCCTTCATCATTTCAGTGACTACTCTTTCTTCAACTCTATATTAGCAAGTTTAGCATTTACCAAAATCAGTCTTATCTTATCAAGTAGCAGGCCCGCCCACCCGCCCTCTATTTTCTTAGAAGATATATTATTTGCCACAGTCACTCTTATCTTAGCGAATACTAGCGCCACCCATTATTTCATTTTTTAAAGAGTATGTCATTTACTAAAATCAGTCTGACGGTAACAAGTACTACCCGCGCCCCCCTGCCCTCTATTTACTACAATCAGTTTTATCTTAGCAAGTACTAGTTAAGATATAACTGATTTTGGCAAATGACATACTTTCTAAGAATAGAGAGGGTGGGTGGGTGGAGCTAGTAGCTGCTAAAATAATCGTTACACTCTCCAAGACTTACAAGATAATAATAAATCTGTTCAAGGCATTCAGTGCTTTTAGGATTTATAGAAATTAAAGAAAGCATTTTTCGAATCTTTACGATTTTTAGGTCTTTCAGATTTTTTTTTGGAATTTTTAAAGTCTTTGGCATTTTGAGAGTTCACGCGATTTTGACTAGTTTTAGAATTTTTGGCTTTTTGGAATTTGTCTAGAACCTTTAGAATCTTTTAAGTATTCGAAACAGAATTTTAGCTCTTGACCCCTTAGAGTCCTTAGATGCTTTAGGGTTTTTAAAATCTTTAGTCTTTGGAGTATTTAGTCTTTAGACTCTTTAGAGTCTTTCCAATCTATGGAAATTTTGAACACTTTGGGAATTACTAGGAATTTTATAAAGCTTAAAATTTCTGCAAGTTGTAGGATCACTAGTACCCGCAGGTTCTTTAAAATTTTTAAGATTTTATTGGATCTTTTTTATATTTAGGACGTTAGGACTTGAATTTATTTAGAAACTTAAGTGTCTTTACATTCGCAATTTCTAGTGAATGTAATCCGTGAAAGCTTTTATGCTTTTTGAATCTTTCAGAGCACTGAAAACTTCTGAATCTTTAGGGAATCTCTAGAATCTAAAATCACTAGAATTTCTATAACCTTCAGAACCTTCAGATTTTCATTAGTTTTAGATACTTGAGTACCTATCTCTTGAATTTTAAATATTTTTATATCTTTAGGATTTTTATCATCTATCCAATTTTTCCAATTTTTAAATATTTGGAACGATATTCCTAATATCCATACAAAAATTGACCTAAACGTCGGAAACGAGAGACCTATGTTTTCGTATTCTAGGGGTCATGAGGCCTCAATTTTCGGGAAAACATTCCAGGTAGTTTTACAACACCTTGCCAAAATTAAAATAAATATCTCTTTCTAGATAACACATTATTAGTAGTAATTATTTGTAAGTAAACCATTCAAGCAATTACTATTCCATTTCATCACCCATTAGGTCCCATTTATAAACACCATCATTTTTCCACGGCTATTTCACATATTAAAAGTTTTATTTTTTTTATATCTAATATACATCAAACTCGTAAACAAAGTTTTAAAAATTAACTTCATTTCTTAATTCCATCGTACGTGGTGAAAGTGACTTGCAGGTATTGCTTATAAATACCAACAATATGAAAAGTGCAATTTTACTACATGACTGTGGACTGTGGGAAAATTTTAGCTGAATTTGGCAGAGAACAAACACAGTTGGTACTGATGGTTGAAGTGATAGTCTTGTGTAGGCCTCAGGCTGTTATTAGACTGGAATAAAGGTCCATTTAGCCTTAAGAAACAATTAAAACCAAACCTACCCTGATCTAAATAGCAATGAAGTTTTCATTCGTTGGCAGACCTAGGGGTGGCGCTTAATTGCAAAATCTATATTTACTTTCAAAAATTTACCATTTTAAGTGTGTTCAAAGTTTCTAAGAATAAAAAAAATCATCACAGTGGAGATGGGTGGGTGGGCGGTGTTTATATTTTGCCTACATAGTGTTGTTTGAACAACACGATACCCAAAAACATGTTTTTTATTTCTTGTAAAGAAATAAGTATTTTGCAGTTAAGTTCTGCCCCCTTGGTACACGACGAATAAAAAAATCATCACAATTGAGATATGGCGGGTGGGCGGGCTTACATTTTGGCTTTTTGTTTGAATATGTATATACTTATTTGCACAACATGAAACTTAAAATATGTTTAAAATGGAAACTTTGTATATGAAACCATTTTAACGATGTTCTTCTTGTGAAAAGATGGCTATGCATATTAAGAACGAAAAGGTAAAATATAAGCCCCGCCCACCCGCCCTATCTCAATTCTGATGATTTTTTTCTATTCGTCGTGAGCCAAGGGGACGGAGCTTAACTGCAAAATCCTTATTTCTTTACGGAAAATTAAAAACATGTTTTTGAGAGTCGTGTTGTTTAAAGAATACCTACTATGTATACTTATTAAGAAAGAAATAAAGCCCCGATCTCCATTCCCAATTGTGATGAATTTTTCATTCGTTGTCAGATCGAGCGGCGGGGCTTAATTACATGTTTGACTACAAGAATTTACCATTTTAGACATGTTTTAAGTTTCTCGTTGTCGAAATAAGTCTGCACATATTAAGAAAAAAACGCAAAATGTGGAAAATTGTGATGATTTCTTTTTATTCGTTGTGAGCCAAGAAGGCGGAGCTTAACTGCACAATGCTTATTTCACTACGAAAAATTAAAAACATGTTTTTGAGTATCGTGTTGTTTAAAGAATACTACGTATAATAAGAAAAAAATAAAGCCAAAGATTAGGTCCAACCCTTTCCCGCCCCGATCTCAATTCGCAGTTGTGATGACTTTTTCATTATTTGTCAAATCGAGGGGCGGGGCTTAATTGCAAGATCCATGCTTGTCTACAAGAATTTACCATTTTAAACATGTTTTAAGTTTCTTATGCTGAAAAGACGACTACGTATATTAAGAAAAAAGACCAAATATAAGCCCCGCCCACCCACCCCATCTCAATTCTGATGATTTTTTTATTCGTCGTGAGCTACAGGGACGGAGCTTAACTGCAAAATCCTTATTTCAAAAAGATATTTTTAGTTTCTTCTAAAGAAATAAGTATTTTGCAGTTAAGCTTTGTCCCTTTGGTTCACGGGGAATAAAACAAGATCATCACAATTGAGACAGGGTGGGTGGGCGGGCTTATACTTTGCCTTTGTGTTTGAATAAAAGCAGTCTTCTTTTTACAACATGAAACTTAAAATATGTTAAAAATGGTAAATTTCCATAAGGAAATATCGATTTTGCCGAGAGGTGGAGCTTAATTCTAAATTCCTTATTTTTCTACGAGAAATTACCATGTGAAATATGTTCTTAATAATCGTGTTATACAAAGAAAACTAGTAAATGTATTAATTAAAAAAATTACCATAATGTCAACGGCGAACGGCAAGTTTATAAATCGACCTTTATATGGATCTAGTCTAATTTTGAAACTTCGGCACTTTCTTTTCTTTGTCCGGTTGCTCTTCCAGTTTTTTTTGGTATCTAATTATGTCAGTAAAGACTTACAGAGTTAACAATGATTTTATATTTCCCTTGTGTGGTTTTGGCGCTCGTATTCGTCACTGTTTTTGTGCAACATTCCGTATAAGCTGGATCTTTCTTTTTTGTAATATAAAGCCGGGTTTTAAAATGACAGCCACTTTTGTCGTCGTTATACCAACTATTAGCTTATAATTACATCGTTTTTCATAAAAGGAAATACACGATTGCCAGATGATTTCATTTTAAAATGGTAGTTTAGAATAATTTCAGCTACATACTGGAATTGTTCGACAACGAAAACTAAAATGTGGATAGTTCAGTAACTACAGAACCAATCATAAAACTTTTTATTTCCAAAATAATTTCAGCTATTCGAGCGTTGTCATCGCACTAAACTCCGCATTTTTTAATGAATTCATTTCATAGGCAAAGATAACGCAAAAGATAAAAACAGTTCTATTACACTAATTAATGCCTCGTTTTCCACTAATTAAACCACTTATTTCTGTGACAACGACGTCTTTTTTTATAACAAAAACACACCTAAGTTTAAAAAAAAAACACAAGTTTGTCAAGCCTTTTAAAGATTACGACGCGTCATTACAGACCCTACAGCTCTCTAATGGCGTGTAATTTGATGTAATCGCTACATCAAGCTTCATCTTCTTAGCCCTCCTTGAACTAGAAGCCAAAGTGGTGTTTATCCGCATTCCGGTAATAATTATCGAAACTAAAAACAAAAATCCAACTGGTCTTACTGGCGGCAAGGTTGCGTGACTTATAGACAACACTCTGTTTAATTATTGGTGGAACTTCTCGACAGAACATCTTCGAAAACGAAATGTGCGAAGAAAACAGTTACTAATTTTAGAAACGTGACAGCGAGATAACCTGAATCGCGACATTTTTGTGCAAATCTTCAATTTGTAAATGTAAATGAGATTCGGTGTACAGGGACGAACTAGTTCGACAAAGGTATAAAATGCAACAGATACATTTTTTCTCCTTCTTAGCGTCCATTTAGTATTACATAAAAGTTTTGCTCGCCGCGAAAAGTCATCAACATTCCAACATCTAAATTTTATAATTGACCCGATTTAAATCTACGATTTATGGGTGTTCCTTTTAAAAATTCTCACCGGACTCGTTACCGCTCTACACAAACACACCAAAAATCCTTACCTGTACAGCACTGTTGAGGAAACAATTATTCTGTCCTGGCCCATTTAGCAAACCTTTTGTGCTGGTAAATGTCATAGAGTCCCTCGAGGGGGTTGCTATCGATATCGGTAAGGGATGCAACGAAACAACCGGCGTCGCCATGGCGCTGTTTCTTTATTATAGGGGATGGGCGATCTACATGGTGTCCTAGAAAATGATAAATTGCTAGTTTTAAAAGAGCCATGTGGTAGAGTGGTTTGGGCGACTAGTTTGAGAAGGTAATAAAAATTTGAATCCCGTAGATTTCGAATTTCGAACAAAAAAGATAACGGGTAAACAATGAGTAATGTTTTTAAAAATAGGGACTCTTTCTGTAAAAGTAAACTGTTGCGCCTTTAAACAGCCGTATATTATAATGGTTTAAAAGCATCAGACCATAACATATCCATCGACAGACAGACACCGAATTTTCACCTAATTAAACGCAAACACGTCCTCTCATTGAATTAATCCCCACATCGAAGATAATCAAACAAATCCAAAATTAGTTAAACTCTTCGACAAGTTCAACAGTTTATGTTATTGTTGAGTACGGTGCTTGTAGTTTGATTATATTTACATTAAGTTTAGTGGGATAAATTTAAATTTACCGCCGTTCGACCCTCTTCAAACTTTGTAGCAACTAAAATGGTTTAGAATAGTTCGGTAAAACGTCGCAAGTTTTTTCACTAGTTGTTTTTTATTCATATAAAAAAATGGCCTATATTTACTGCAGAGCTTTAACAAGATTTCTAGTACAAATTCTAGTTTTATAGTTTCCTCAAAATTTTTCGTTACCTATCTCGGAAACTCTTTCTAGAATGGATTAAAATTTTGTGCGCAGAATTAAATTATATTGGACAATTAAAAATTAAGTATATTTATAAAAAAATTTGGTTTGTTTGGGCTAAGAAATTGTCAAATGTGTCCAGGGGTAAAGCGGAACCTGTTGAACCAGCGCCTGAAAAATTTAAACCAGCGCCTAGAAGACAGAAATTTTACTTCATTTAACAGTTCTTGAAGTAATTTAAAAGAATGTGCGGGATTATTTTGTGTATTGTTTTTGCAGTAGTTCGAAAGAATCTCGGGAATCCTTTGTGTTTTGTTTTTGAAGTAGTTTCAAAAAAGTCTCAGGGACCTCTTGTGTTTTGTTTTCGAAGTAATTTGAAAGAATCTCGGGGACTCTTTGTGTTTTGTTTTTACGGTAGTTTAAAAAATCTCAGGTACATCTTGTATCTGGTTTTAGAAGTAGCTTGAAAGAATTTTGAGAAATCCTGTGTTTTGTTTTTGACGTAGTTTAAAGAATCACAGGGACATCTTGTGTCTTGTTTTTTAAATAGTTTGAATGAATTTCGAGGAACCCTGTATTTTGGTGCTTTTTTTAACAAATGTGACATAATCTTGACGGTTCCTGTTGTTTATTTATTTTTGAAAGAATTTGGAAGAATTTTGGAGATTTTGGGCGACTCTTCTATTTAAAAAAAAATTGAAAGAATTTGAAGTAGTTTGAGAGAACCTTGGGAATCCCTGGTTTCGTTTTTGAAATAATTTGAAAAAATCACGAGGACCCCTCGTACTTTGTTTTTAAAGTGAGTTTGAAAGTATCTTGGAGATCTTTGGTCTTGTTTTTGAAGTAGTTTTAAAGAATCTCGGGGACTCCTTGTGTTAGATTTCTGAAACAGTTTGAAAGAATCTCGAGAAGTCCATGTGTTTTGTTTTTGAAGTAGTTTGAAAGAATCTCGAGGACCTTTCGTGTTTTGTTTTTGAAGTAGTTTGAAAGAATTTTGGAGACTCCTTGTGTCTTGTTTTTGAAGTAGTTTGAAAGAATCTGGGGAACCATTTGTGTTTTATTTTTAAAGTAGTTTGAAAGAATCTCTGGGATCCCTTGTGTCTGGTTTTTGAAGTAGTTTGAAAGAATCTCGGAGACACCTTAGTTTTGATTTTGAAGTAGTTTATTTGAAAGAATTTCGGGAAGCCCTTATGTCTGATTTTTAAACCAGTTTTAAAGAATTTCGGGGATCGTCTATGTTTTGTTTTTACAGTAGTTTAAAAAAATTTCAGCTACCTCTTGTATCTGGTTTTTGAAGTAGTTTGAAACAATCTCGAGAAATACTGTGTTTTGTTTTTGAAGTAGTTTGAAAGAATTTCGGCGATTTCTTGTTTTGTTTTTGAAGTAGTTTGAAAAAATATCGGGAACTCGTGTTTTGTTTTTTAAGTAGTTTAAAGAATCACAGGGACATCTGGTCTGGTTTTGTAAGTAGTTTGAATGAATTTCGAGAAACCGTGTGTTTTGGTGCTTTTTTTTAACAAATGTGACATAATCTTGAGGTTTTTTTTTTTGAAAGAATTTGGAAGAATTTTGGAGATTCTAGGTGACTCTTCTATTTTGAAAAAAATTGAAAAAATTTGGAAGCTCTTGATGATACGAATTTTTTTTAACTGAAAGAATTTGAAGTAGTTTGAGAGAATCTTGGGAATCCCTGGTCTCGTTTTGAAATAATTTGAAAAAATCACGGGGACTCCTCATCGTATTTTGTTTTTGAAGTGAGTTTGAGAGAATCTTGGAAATCTCTGGTTTTGTTTTTGAAGTAGTTTTAAAGAATCTAGGGGACTCTTTGTGTTTTGTTTTTGAAGTAGTCTGAAAGAATCTCGAGGACCTCTCGTGTTTTGTTTTTGGAGTAGTTTGAAAGAATTTCGTAGACTTCTTGTGTCTTGTTTTTAAAGTAGTTTGAAAGAATCTCTGGGAACGCTTGTGTCTGGTTTTTAAACCAGTTTTAAAGAATTTCGGAGATCGTCTATGTTTTGTTTTTACAGTAGTTTAAAAAAATGTCAGCTACATCTTGTATCTGGTTTTTGAAGTAATTTGAAAAAATCTAGAGAAATCCTGTGTTTTGTTTTTGAAGTAGTTTGAAAGAATTTCGCCGATTCCTTACTTTGTTTTTGAAGTAGTTTGATAAAAATATCGGGAACTCGTGTTTTGTTTTTTAAGTAGTTTAAAGAATCACAGGGATATCTGGTCCAGTTTTTTAAGTAGTTTGAATGAATTTCGATAGAACCTGTGTTTGGGTGCTTTTTTTAACAAATGTGACATAATCTTGAGGTTTTTTTTTTGAAAGAATTTGAAACAATTTTGGAGATTCTAGGTGACTCTTCTATTTTGAAAAAAATTGAAATAATTTGGAAGCTCTTAATAATACGATTTTTTTTAACTGAAAGAATTTGAAGTAGTTTGAGAGAATCTTGGGAATCCCTGGTCTCGTTTTGAAATAATTTGAAAAAATCACGGGGATTCCTCGTCGTATTTTGTTTTTGAAGTGAGTTTGAGAGAATCTTTGAAATCTCTGGTCTTGTTTTTGAAGTAGTTTTAAAAAATCTAGGGGACTCTGTTTTTTGTTTTTTGAAGCAGTTTGAAAGAATCACGGGAAATCCATGTGTTTTGTTTTTGAAGTAGTTTGAAAGAATTTCGAGGACTTCTCGTGTCTTGTTTTTAAAGTAGTTTGAAAGAATCTCCGGGAACGCTTGTGCCAGGTTTTTGAAGTAGTTTAAAAGAATCTCGGAGACACCTTAGTTTTGATTTTGAAGTAGTTTGTTTGAAAGAATTTCGGGAATCCCCTATGTCTGGTTTTTAAACCAGTTTTAAAGAATTTCAGAGATCGTCTATGTTTTGTTTTTACAGTAGTTTAAAAAAATCTCAGCTACATCTTGTATCTCGTTTTTGAAGTAATTTGAAGAAATCTCGAGAAATCCTGTGTTTTGTTTTTGAAGTAGTTTGAAAGAATCAAAAGGACATCTGGTCTGGTTTTTTAAGTAGTTTGAATGAATTTCGAGAAACCCTGTGTTTTGGTGCTTTTTTTAACAAATGTGACATAATCTTGAGGTTTTTTTTTTGAAAGAATTTGGAAGAATTTTGGAGATTCTGGGTGACTCTTCTATTTTGAAAAAAATTGAAAGAATTTGGAAGCTCTTGATGATACGATTTTTTTTTAACTGAAAGAATTTGAAGTGAATTTGAGAGAATCTTGGAAATCTCTGGTCTTGTTGTTGAAATAGTTTTAAAAAATCTAGGGGACTCTTTGTGTTTGGTTTTTGAAGCAGTTTAAAAGAATCTCGGGAAATCCATGTGTTTTATTCTAGAAGTAGTTTGAAAGAATCTCTGGAAATCCATGTGTTTTGTTTTTGAAGTAGTTTGAAAGAATCTCGGGAACACCTTAGTTTTGATTTTGACGTAGTTTATTTGAAAGAGTCTTGGGAATCCCTTATGTCTGGTTTTTGAACCAGTTTTAAAGAATAATTTCCGAAATCCTTTATGTTTTGTTTTTGAAGTATGTAGTTGAAAGAATCTTGGGGACCTCTTGTACCCGGTTTTTGAAGTAATTTTAATTAAAAAAGATGTGTCTTTGAAAGTATTATGAACAAATTTTGTGAGTCTCAGATATTTTTTGTAAACAAATATACATATTTTTTTTTAAGAATTCGAAGGAATTTTGGAGACTCTGAGTAACTCATTTGAAAGAACCTTGGAAGTTCCTAGTTTTCCGTTTTTGATAAAAAGGGGATAGAATTTAAGGTAATTTTGGTGTTTTTATTTTTAATTAAATATAATAAATAGGTGAATCCTAATGTTTTGTTCTTGAAATAGTTTAAAAAATTAGGAAGTTCCTAGTGTTTGAATTTTTTGAAGGAATATTGAAGAAATTTTTGTTTTGTGGTGCTTTTTTCTAATAGATTTGAAAAAATATTCGGAGTTTCTGGTATTTTGTTTTTGAAAAAATCGTTGGAGCCCTTGCTTTTCTACTTTGAAAAATACTGAAAAAATTTGGAAGCTCTTGGTGAACCGAATTTTTTTTTTTAACTGAAAGAATTTGAAGTAGTTTGAGAGAATCTTGGGAATCCCTGATCTCGTTTTTGAAGTAATTTGCGAAAATCTCAGGAACCACTCGTGTTTTGTTTTTGAACTACTTTGAAGGAATCTTGGAAATCTCTGGTTTTGTTTTTGAAGTAGTTTTAATTAAAAAAGATGTGTTTTTAATAGTATTGTGGACGAATTTCGGAAACCTTGTGTATGGTTTTTAAAGCAGTTTGAAAGAATCTCCGAGACCTCTTGTGCCTGGCTTTTGAAGTAGTTTGAAAGAATCTGGGGAAACCTTTGTTGTTTATTTTAAAAATAG